CTTCTATGGTTCGAAGAGAACGAGAAAAGTTTTGTGTGTATGTACATATATATATATATATAAAATTTAATAATTTAATATATATATATATATACATATGTTTGTGAAAGCTAATTACTTACAATTTCGTTGATCACAATAGAAGCGCTTGTAGTTTCTGTAATCCATGTAACTTCTGGTGATAATCTCAAGGCCGTTCCTCTTAAATCGATACTAAAACTACCTTGCGGACATTTGGTAAGACTGTAGCAATCACCAGCTTTGCCATACTCCACACGCTTCATACCCTTTGTCCATGAAAATGTATAATCGTTTGCTAAACAGACAGTAACATTATTTTATTTTATTTATACCTTGTTACCTCGAAGGTATAAATATGTATTATTATGTGTAGTTTAGGCTCTTTTCCGAGAAGTGTATGGGTTGGATAAGCGTTTCTTCGCGGAGGGAGTGCAGGAGGAATGGCTTTGCCTCTCCCCCGTCCATGCATTCAATTTACTACATTTAAATAATTCTGCAAAGAGTACATTCTACTAAATGTGCATGGTGCTCGAAAATTACGCCCTACTTTGCAAATTTCTTTCATTAATAACTTTTTAATAAACAACGATAATATTGGTAATATTGTATATTCTCTCGAGCGTAAAAGGAAATGATTTAAAACGTGACTCATGTCAGCCAAATATCAAGATACTGGCTGTGTATTTATTAAATATAATCATATATGGCAATCTAACATTTAAAACAAAGAAGTTTATAAATATTTCCTTTCATTAAATTATATTTGACTTAATTTCAAATTTATGCTATAAGTTGTTCTTCATTTTTCATTGTTTTATGTCGTGACACAGATAAGTTATAGTTCTTTCCTCTCAGAATATATTGAATCACCTATTTCACAGTGCTACGTTACAGTGTTCATACCTACTTTATCATCCTAATAGCAGATTTCTATACATATATTTTATATCGATATTGTTAAAGTTGCGCAATTGCTTACCTATAATATGTAATCTAGCAGGATCAATGCGTACTCTCTTAAACATTGTTTTGCCAGATACTGTTCCCAAGTCGGATACGCAGTTGCAACTATCATTCCTCTGACCATGGAACGGGCACACATGTGGATTTTTTAACCTATTAAAGTCAGATTACACATTATAAAATTACATTGCTTTTTACAATAATCAACATACTTCAATTCGGGAAACATTCTGATGCCATAATTATGCGAGCAACTAATTTCTTTAATGCACTTTACTCTTGAACGCCACATTCTATTCTTGGTATATCTTAAAAGTTGGAGCAAAAAAAATATTTTTGGAAATAAAATTTAGTAAAAAAATAGTAAAAAATTTTAATATTATTAATCTTTTGCTTACGTATACGCTGTTTTTATAATGACTTTGGTAGCTTAATCTTAAGCTATGTAGCACTTCATAACTTTTTAATAGTTGGAGCAAAAAAATTACTTTTTAAAGCAAAAAAATAGCAAAAAATTAGCAAATTATTTTCATATATAATTTATTATATTCTGATAATTTGTCTTAGATAGCTTAATATTCTTGTTGCCCGTCCCTGCTTGTTCGCCGTACTAAACTCGTAAGTAATTATTTTCAATTATAATTCGAAAATTAAGCTTCGGAGAAAATTTTGTAAAAGGAAAAGTCTCAGAATTCGCTCACAAATATGACATTTTAACGACATCAGGTTGTTTTTTGAATGTATATATGTAACTAAATAAATTATTGGCCATAGGAAAATAATAAAACTTATCTATCTATTTATTTATAATGCGTAAATAAAATATAAAGAATCCATACACATTGGATGTAAAATAACAATTTAGATTCTTATGCAAATGTTACAATTTATAATAATAATTCACTAACCTCTTGTCGTAAATCTCCGCATAATTCTCATTATCACCTGCTGGCAGTGTTAGGTATTCCCGCGGTTCAATGCTCGACATTCCGTGACAATAAATCGTCATATTTCTTCCGCCAATTAACAACCGATATTCACCGTCTGTGCTAGTTTTTAGTCGTCTTCTAATTTCAAGACAACTAACCGGACCGCATCTCCTTTGATTACACTTGCGCTTCCGTTGAGGCTTGTACTCAGTTGAACAGTGAGATCGTGCAACTTTTATGCCAACTGCATCGTGACAATAAAGTTTACGGATTTGTCTACCTTTACGTCCACATGGATGAGTACACTAAAATAAACAAATAAAAAAAAAAAATCTTGAGATTAAACTCTCAAACAGAAAAATATATTTAAAATTAATAAAATAGATTTAAAAATTAGAAGTAGATTAGTTTTTTATCATATTAAATATGATGAAAATCGTAGTACAAATTGTAGTACAATCGTAGTACATGAAAAGCAAAAGTGATTTTCTTATACAGTTTAGAAATATTCACAATTTAATATTTAATCGGTTTTTTTATTGGCCATTCAATATTTTTTGTTTACAAAACATGTCTAATTAAAAAATCAGCCAAATTAAAGAATATTCCTTCTTCTAATATTCAATAACTTTTTCTACTAGAATCTTTTGGCGCGCGTTATTTTATCAAGAAATGGTGACGCGCAATGAAAAAACCGGCTGTGTATTTTTTACGCGAGTCAACGAGTTGAGATTATCTACAGTTATCGGAAAGTAGTAACTTTTGGGTCGATCAAACTGCCAATAAACTCAATCGATAGTGTACGTCTAAATTATATCATAAAAGTTTCTTTACTTTTATTCCATGCCTCGTTAAGAGATATTTATGCCTTATTAAGAAAGATATAACAATCCAAAGTTCAAATATTGAAATTTTTAAGTAAGTCATCGTTGTTGTTGTCTGTTCTCTTATTTTTTCTACATATTACGCAGTACGCATAATTAAACCGAGCACCAAGAGGATTCTGTTATACTCGGATGTTACGAATCCCGTGCACACTACGAGCATGTTACGGCTCGACTCTCTTACGTTATAAAAAAATACTCAATAGTTTGTACATGGCTTTAGTAGTTCAATCGGCCCGAGAGAAGATATGATAATTGTAGGTATTGTAGTCTTAACTCGTCAACTCGCCTAAAGATATACGACAAATATTTTGTCTGTGATAAACTTGATGTGAGGTACGTATCTTTTGATGTTAATAATGATTTATAAAAAAGAATTTCATAGAATAAACTCACTTTTCTCCAAGAGCCAGCAGTCCAATAATGTTCGTCATTACATTCGCGTAGTTTACAAATCTGTTCCTCGATCGGCCTTTGATCTATTGGACAGCCTTCAGTTGGGGTGGGATCGATCCATCCGTAGTGATTTACTCGGTGGCAAGTGACTGTACGATGTTGTATTCCTTCTCCACATTCTGCCGAACACTTGAGAAGAATAAATAGTTTATAAATTTTAGTTTTATTACGAATCATTAATTTATTATAATTATTATAATCATAATAAATTGCGATCGCATTAGAAAAAAGAAAAATAGAAAAGATAAAAGACATCAACAGACATGAAAAATAATTATTACAATATTTCTACGTCGATGATTGTATAATGAAAAAATGTATTCGCCAAATTAGTATCACGCAAATTATTACGAATAATAATAAAAGATTTTTAATGTACATAGTATGCCATTTTAATGGGAGGTCGGAGAAGTATGGAGAACTCTTTACTATCAAGTAAATGTAAAAATTATTAAGTGGGATTAGTAATTTAGAATTTTTGAAAAAGATAAATTGTTGTTTTTTACGGCAAAACTTATTTACAAATCAATACAATATAAAGAGATTGCTAGAAAAACATACTTAAAAGATTCACATTGCTCTTGGAACTAATAAGTAAACAAACATACATTGCCAACATGTTGCACAGATTTAAAAACCCTAAATTGTTAAAATACATTTTCTATAGTCTATTATAGTATTTATGAAATTTACTGCTGATACAATTGATTAATATTAGTAAAAAATATAATATTAGTATATTAGTATAAAATATGTTTTTGCTGCTAATAATTGTTTATTTCCCTTTGTCGTGTATGTACAAACATTCGTGCTTAGAGAACTCAGTTTTTATTTTTACATTCTACTTTCCAAGCTGGTAAACCATATGACATGTTTGTAAAAAATAAGAACAATGTTGATTATAAGGTATAAAGATACCTCCGACCAGGTGCCTTCCTGCCAGATATAATCGCAAGCAACGTGTTGGCACAATCTCTGTAATTTCGGTTTGCGCGATTTCAATCTCGAACACTGTTCGTCCTTGACAGGTATTTCCGGCCCATGACTGCCTCTTCTCATTGTACACTCCACTCTTCGCGTCTGAATCCCGGTGCCACACGATTTTGAACACTGCAAAATACTTTGATAATGGCTGACCACGCATTATTATCCGCATTATTATGATAAAATTTGGCTTTGTCAAATTGTCAAGATTCAAGATATTTACTTAAGGGGGAACACCAGGGTGACGGCCAAAAAGAAGGCTATTTTCGTGAATTTTTTTTTCATTATCTAATAGTTTGTTTAATTTATAAACTATATATGTTAAAAGTACATACTTATATTATGTTACAACAAAAATTTCATAAAATAATATTCATATTTATAATAACTATGGTGATTGATGTGCACCTCGTCTGAAAAAACATGGGTGCACGGGCGCTCGTGCTGCATCTGAACGGGAGCTCTAAAATAAATTTTTTAAATTGTGATTTAAAGTATATGAATGTAGTTTTTTAGTTGCACGTACGGATTTTTTGATAAAATAATTTTTGACAAAATGGCACTGTTTAAAAAAAAAGTTTTCGATTTTTCAACAAAAATTCGTTACTTCTTTAATTGTTTTTCAAAAACTAATAATCCGATTGAAAAATCCGTACGTGCAACTGAAGACAATTTTGTTGTAAACATTCTGTCCAAATTTCAAGTTATTCGGATAAAAATTGGCCGAGATATGAGAGCGCCCAGTTACGAAAACGTGGTTTCGAGAAAAACGCGTTTAAAGTTTTACAACTAATTGGTTCATATAAAACGATAAAATTTTGTAACGAACCAAAGTGCGTCCAATCCGGGTGCATATGAAGTGCCTTCTGAAGCAATAGAACTCAAGCACGTAGACAACAAAAGAATACCGGTAAAACTCCCTACAGACAGATCAAGGGGACTGCCGAATCTTTTCAGGTAGCGCGCGGCCGGTTCTACTAGCGGCATCTGACCAAGTTCTACTCTATGACATATTTACTATAGTTCCGTTACGAATTTCACCATAATATTATAGGGACATATTTTTAAGACTCCAAACATCACAAAAATGACAAAAAAAAAATCGATTTTTTGAAACCGTCACCGTGGTGTTCTCCCTTAATATCGCTAGATCAAATCCGTCCAGCATTTCATAATTGTATGTTTAACTTTATATACATATATTACGTTTATATTCACTATGATAAAATAGATTAAAAGCCTATTTAAAGCAATTTGTTTCAAAATTGCTTTATCAAAACGATACTCCACTCGTTGACATCTTTTGAAAACACTTACACTTGCCTACTTTTATCAATTCCTCATGCAAAATTAAATTCCAATAGCTTTTCTTTAATTTTTTATAATTGTGTCGTAGCTTTTTAGCTGTAGCTTTATATGTTAGACATTAATAAATGTCTTATACTTTCAATTGAGAACTTTACGGGCCGTGCACATCGTATTTAGATATTTATAATGATATTTGTATCACACAATAATTCACAATAACTATGTTTCATAGTTTGATAGTTAATTTTTAAACATGTCGTTTGCATGTATTCAGAACTGACTTTAGATCTAATAACGCTTCTGTGCAATCTTTATAAGCGTTCCTCATTCATCAATAGTTGATCGAAAAAGAGAAATGCCCTTAATGTTGCATCCGTTTTCTATGTATGTTTAATGAGATTATCTTCTTTTTTTTTTATCTACTGTGGCATCGACAAAACGCTGGGGCGCCAGGTGTGTCTTCGAAAGACGTATCTGAAGTACCTTCTATTGTAATGCCCGTCTGTTTAAGACTATAGCTCACCCTCCCCCTCCCCCCTTTCCCGCCCCATCATAAGGTCGATCCTGCATGTATTTACATGTAAACGTTTATATGAAAAATTAAATATAAACAATAACTCATTCAATAAATTAATTAATTAGTAAAATTGTTCTACATTTTTTTACCAACAGTCATGACGTACAAATATTTAGACAAAATGTGTTCTGAAAAGTCCTACATCAAAAGTATAGGGCATTATTGACGCCCTTATAAAGTTGTACAAGAATTTATAGCGATAGTGTTATCTGCACAATTTTCAGTGAGTATTGAAAATTTAAAGGATCGAAGAAAACAATTAAAAAAAAACATTTTCATTTTACTCTACATTATTATGACAATACTACAATAATTACTTACAGGAGTCCAGTTGGATATTTTCCATTTTCGGACAATGTTCGATTCCAAATTATTTTCACTGCTGAAATTGCTCTTGCAAGATTCTCTCTGACATCTTTGCGTATATTTCGGTCGTTCGTCGATACATTCCTTATCTGGTAGAATTTCACCGTGATGACTTTTGCAACGAACTTGGCGATGCTGGATGCCACTGCCGCAATCCACGTTGCACTAAACAATTTGGGAAAAATCAGTAAAGAGATGCGTTATTAATTTACAAATGTATTTTTGGTTAATATTAATTTAGAATTAGACTTTACGTTGATTTAACTGAGCTTTATATTTTACTAACAAAACCTCGACTTCCTAGCAAATCGTTCAACTCGCACGGTCACTTCCGCTATACCTGACCGGCGAGCATTTGTTCAATTATACTCGACTGTCGCGGCCTAACTCTTCCTCAGGTAGTAAAGGGCGTAAAGTTACATTTTTTTTAAATTTTACTAATAACCGTGATGGAAATATTTTGCTGAAAGTACTATGAAATCAATAAAAAGTAAAATAAAAGTTTTTGAAAAATTACTAAATATATTTCAAAATAAATCATAATTTTCCATATGAAAATTTAATGTAATACTATGAAATATAAGGAAAATTAAAATATACTGCTGAAAAGTAATAAAAGAGTTTTTAAATAATTAATATTATGAAATTTACTGAATTAAACTGAAAACTGTCACTTTTTAATGAAAAATTGCTGAAATATTTATGAAATTAATTAATGGGGTCAATTGAGAGAAATTTTCAAATACATTTCAGCAAAATTTCGTTATA